CGAATACTAATAGTTGAACCTCCATATTTCTGTTCATGCTTTTAGTGTGGCCGTAATTACGTTTGTTCACATTCCTGTAACTTACAAATGAGCTGAAGTTGAAGTTAAATGTCTCGCATGCATAATTATCATGTGAGATGAGATGTATGGCATATGTTGATCAAACAAAGCTTGCTGACAATTCCATGTCAATGAGCAGTTAACACATACAAATATGGGAATCACATGATAGAAATGTAAGTTCACCTAACAGGTCCTTTCTAAGAGCATTCATCTTCAATCCTGAAATAATACGACTCGCTCTGTTTTGTAGTACCTGTAGTAGACTATCCGATTCCGCATTATCAATTGAAATATCACAATTATAATCAACGTTGTAGAATATAAAGCTAATAACAAATAGATAAAAGAGTAACTTTTGACACCAAACATTGAATTCTACTTGAAATAGAAATTTTAATTGCTATATTGTATCAATTTGGGTTTCATTACACCAACTTATCTACAATCAAATTATTCAAAATAGTCAATGCTGTCCTTAACCCAATACTAAATTCCTGAAACTTTGACAACTTCATGTTAGAATGAACAATATTATATATCTGGAAATGAACACCTTTTCAACAATAATAAACAAATTTAAATAAACGCAGATATCGGGTCTAAGAATAGTACACTGGTAGTTATATTCTCTGCCACGATATCGAGAACGTGTATAGATAAAACGATGTTATATATCGCCAAATGACCAACCACAAAGAATTAAAAAAGTCAAATCACTGCGCGGGCGGTAACGCCCTCGCACATAAAATCTACTGTTTCGAGCTAAACTTAACTCCTGAACATTGAGGGCGCCCTTGAGCGCCAAAAGAATCAAAATATAGATTCAAAATGGCAGCTCGCACTGATGTAGCGAACGATGTCGCTTTGAAAGTCATAGAAATCACCAGTTTATAGAAACATTTTCCATATATACGATGCTGTATTGGGTGAGTTTTTTGGCATATACATTGTAGATGATTGTTGTTGTTTTTCTGATGTGGACATGCCATTTCCAATATTAGCGTGAAAATTTGAACGTTGAAAGACATGTCATGCGTTTATGATTTGCCGGACGGTACTGAGACTGTATAATGAGTAATGATTGATGTTATATTTGTTGATCAGTTGCGTTGTACATGTAATTTTCAGAGTTTTAAAAGATGATGTTTACTTCAAAATACGCTTAGAATCGTTAGGGTGATTTATTGTTGAAGCAACAAACTTTTGCATAGTTAATCCAGCAAGTTTACTAGTTTGTGATGCATAATTAGAAATGTTTATGTTGAGGTGTTGTAGTTGAGTTTCTGGTATTTAGAAAATGAAAATAGTATTATATTATAGGATCAATAACCTGTCT